GCTCTCATAATCTGCCCGTGGGCACATCAATCACAAGTTTCCCATGGGCATCCTAATTACGATGATAACCATTTTAAAGATAATAATGGCAAATGCTTTCGATCATCAGGGCAACCCTAGAAGGTGGGTACTGTGATTATCCCCATTTTACAGATGAGGAAACTGAGGCCCAGAGAGGTGAGGTCGTTTGCCTACGGTCAAATAGTTCACAGACGGCCAAGATTTGAACACGGACAGTCTGGCAACGTGCTCCGAAAGCTCTGGATTTGATAACATGTACGTCTCGGAAATTCTAAGAAAGGACTACGATCCGGGGACAACACATTCAAAGTGAATGCCGCCATGTTTCCGTGTTTCTAAGAACACAGACCAGGCGTGCTGTCTCTCCACTAACCAACAGATACCTGCTCCGGGTCCGTTGATGTGGGCATCACACACGCGGTTTGCCAAACTCTTGCTCTGACACAGAGCATTTAAAGACACTGAGAAGGGGTGCCTGGGTGGCTCAGTCGGTTGGGCGTCCGACTTCGGCTCAGGTCACGATCTCGCGGTCCGTGAGTTCAAGCCCCGCGTCGGGCTCTGTGCTGACAGCTCAGAGCCTGGAGCCTGTTTCTGACTCTGTGTCTCCCTCTCTCTCTGACCCTCCCCCATTCATGCTCTGTCTCTCTCTGTCTCAAAAATGAATAAATGTTAAAAAAAATTTTTTTTTTTAAAAAAAGACACTGAGAATGTCTGTCTCTCTCAGGATCAAGACCAAAGACCCCTCTTCTGGATCCCAGTGCGGTCAGCCCCCGCAGTGTTCAGCCGCAGGGTGATGGCATCCTGAGCGCCTGCTAAATGGCCCACTCATGTGCAGCACGTGTCTCACTATTTCTGGGAAGCCGACACACAAATGGGGAGGAAGGGGGTGGCAGGGGCCACAGTTCTTCAGCCTACAAAGATCTGTTTTGCTGACAGGGGATGGACGACAAAAGGACCAGCTTTCGCAGGGCTAAGAAGGCAGAAAGTCTTATCAGGGGACATCACAGCCTCCGTGCTAATGGGGGACGCCAAGCGGAGGACCAAGGGCAAAACTCTGCACGTCAAGCATCCTGACAACCTGTCCCAGCAGGAGGACCCCGGTGTGGTCCCGCCTTCTCTCATCTGGTGTTTTGTTTTCCAAGAAATTAAGGAGGCTCCTAACGTGAGTTCCCTGAAATTTCTCCATGCTATGGTTTCCAGCAAATATTATGTCTCTCTCACACTGGTACTTTCTTCCCTTTTCCTACAACCTTAAATGTCAAGTATCTCTTCTCTAGAAGCACTGAATTGAGATAAAGAGGATTAGGGGATATTTTGATTCCATTTAAAGATAGCTGGGAGCAAAAGGGAGTAAACAGACATGCTTCGAGGCCCATTTCACCTCACTTCTCCCTCCCGATCCTCCTTGCCACCCCCTCAGAGGTTGCCCTGACAGCTCCCGACACAGGGGGGGATGAATGCACCCTCCAGGGCCTGCCTTCTGGAACTCTAGTTCCCGCATTAACCGTGCTTGGAAGCCAGTTAGCATGAAAGGCTCTGATTTCCTGGTAAACTGGAGGGAGGAGCCTGGTGGGAAAAACAGCCTCGGAATGAGATTCCAGCAATAGCCCCTTCATAGAGACGCCTCGGAATTCACTAGGGGCCCCTTGGAGCCACCCGAGAAGATACCACGCTCTGAATGGGTCAGTGGCAAGATGTTAAAACCAGCCGACAGGAGCTCAATAGAAACTTACACACTTTTAATGCAGAGCAACCAAGGCTGCTTAAATATTTACAAGTACAATCCATCACTTAAAGGGCCAGTTAAGGCTGCAGAGAGATAGTGGTCTTCTGGGATCTTCATTACCAGGATTTAGTTATTGTCGCATCTTGTAGAAGCCCGGGGACCATTCTTATTCATAATAATGCTTTTCATCTATTGAACACTTACCCACCATGTACCGGCCACGTGATGCATGTTCCACATGTGAAGTCATTTCATCTCTACAGTCATACGGACCAGTAACTATTTTATGTATGAGAATATACAGGTTGAGAGGCCAAGTGACATGCCCGAGGTCACACAGCAAGTAACTAGCGGAGGCAGAATCTAAACTCAAGTGTGTTCGACGCTAAAACCTACACTTGTGACTTTGGCTTTGGTCGCGATGGAATATATACACTCCCTCCTGCCGCCCCTGTAAATAAACAAAGAAGTGGGCAAGACTCATGAAACGGTTATTCCAGATAGTGGACAACAAGCAGTGAAGGACTGTGATCTCTGAGAGAAGGGAAGCAAATGAGGGGAGGCCTAAAAACACACCAGCTTTCAACCGGGAGGCGTTTGTCAGGCCACAGCACAAGCAGGGGGTAACGGAGCTAGAAAGGGGCAGTCTCACTGAGTTGAAGAGGCAGATCGGAGTTTGGGGAGGTAGGGGTGGCTAGAACCTACCAGGGCAGTAGCAGAGAAGAGGGAGCTACACAGAGAGAGAATTCCAGAAACCTGCACCGATGGCCTCCTGAGTCTGTTTCTGGATACCAAGCTGAGGAGGAACAGAATGGAAGTCTACGCAGCCAAGCAGAGAATAACTTCGGAGCCCAAATCCCTTCGAGCCCCGCATCGGGCTCTGGGCTGATGGCTCAGAGCCTGGACCCTGTTTCCGATTCTGTGTCTCCCTCTCTCTCTGCCCCTCCCCCATTCATGCTCTGTCTCTCTCTGTCTCAAAAATAAATAAACTTAAAAAAAAAAAATTTAAAAGTGTAACCCTGTAAAGCCAAAAGTGATAGCAGTGTACTAGAGCATCTAGAACGTGGCGACGTAACGCAGTGGCAGAAAGAATGGTGTGAATGGCAGACGTGAAAGCCGACTGCTCTAAGGCGCTCACGCTGGGTGTGATGTGGGGTGATAATCACCGGAAGATACGCTATATACTATGTGAAAGTCACATATTGCAAACCATAGAGGTGCCCCTAAAAAACACATCCCAAAACGTGGAATAATAGGAAACCCTTCACAAACGGCTTGTTGAAAGGTGTGTCTGATGACGTGGACCCCAAAGGCTTGTGAACAGCACATGACATCACAGCTTCCCAAATTGGAGGGCAGGGAGGGGAGAGGAACCCATGATTTTGCGTTGGCGTTTGGTCTGGTTAGTGCCTAGTGCCCTCTTCGTGGCCCCTCTGGACTCCCACCCAGGCCTTTGCTCAGCAGAACACACGCTGTAGGTCAAACCCTGTGACCAGAGATGGTGTTTAGAAGAAATACCGTTTCTCGAGAAATGAAGAAAAAAAAAAAAAAACCCACCACCTACCTCCGTGGGGTACGACTTGTGTTAGTTAGCATGGCTCAGAGAAAGCAGGGCCCCATCTATCTGTTCATGAAAAGCAGCATTTTAGGATTAAAGTCAATGCATTTTGGGGCATCTGGGTGGCTCAGTCGGCTAAGCGACTTTGGCTCAGGTCATGATCTCACGGCTCGTGAGTTCCAGCCCCGCGTCGGGCTCTGTGCTGACAGCTTGGAGCCTGGAGCCTGTGTCGGATTCTGGGTCTCCCTCGCTCTCTGCCCCTCCCCCACTCACGCTCTGTCTCTCTCAAAAATAAACTTAAAACAAAATCATAATAAAGTTAAAGCATTTCTATTCTACAGAAGCAGGTTAAGTGCGGTAGCTAAATGAACTCTTGGTGGATGGGAATGTTCGATGGCAGGTGTCTACTACGTGTCTTTATAACGGCCTTAGCAAGATGGACCCCATTATGTTTGGATTGGGGGTAGATTCCAATCCACCATTGCTCGGGCACATATCAATTCCTCCATACACAGCCAGACGTGCCGTTAAATCCAAAACCACAGAGGAAAGAGTTCAGTTCCCAAGGAAACGGTGAAAGCTGAACAATGTAAAAATTTACAGGTAGGCCCGCATCAAATTCACCCTGATTTCTAGTAACACCTGGACGCCCCTTCCAATGGACGGCCAAAGAACCACAGAAGCTTCTGGTATTACCAGATGGTTTTAATGGCCTTACAGATCTGGTGAATCAAAATGAAACATCTCCCCTCTACATCTCATCCTTTCTTTTTTTTTTTTTTTTTTTTTTTTCTAGATCCAGGTGAAATTGATTCTTCTTGGCATGGCAGAGTTTTCAGAGTCCACATTCCTTAAACCCCCCGTTAACAAGATCACTCGCTAAGTTCAGTCTGGTGCACAAAACGCCGCAGACTTAGCGCCCAGGCAACGTCTTCAGATGTTCTCCGAACCAGATCGGCCACGCTCAACACCGTCCGCGTCCGTAAAAGAGGGGGTGGAATTCGTAGATTTCGTGAGGACCTGTGGCTTCCTTTTGCCACGCTAGATACGCGGGGACCACTAGGATGGGGTTGCGAAGGATGAGCTGGAAAGGTGAAAATGTTTTTCGGCCTGAGTTTCTCAACAGTGGAGGTGGAGAAGAAGGAAGAGCGACACCAGCACAACGCTGACCGTAGACTGGAGGGCGCACACGCCTGACTTGGTGGTAGCGGCCGTGGCTGAGGCCTTGGTGGTGGTGGCGGCGGCCGCCGCCGCCGCCGCGGTGGTTCCCTGGGAAGAAACCTCCTGGGGCAGGAGCAGCGCCAGAAGCAGCAGCCCCAGCTGCAGCCTCATCAACATCCCTCTTCTCATGTCCCCTGTGTCGCGCTTGGTGCTCAGGGGAACGAAGGATCCGGAGCTGCAGGTGGCTGCGGGCGAAATGGCGAGGGCGGTGCCGGCAGGGTCTTACTTACGAGGGGGCGTCACAGAGCCTGATGAGCCAAGGGCCTTCCGGCGCCAGCCGGCGTCACAAGGCCCGACCCCGAGGGCCCCGCCCCCTGGACCCCGGGCTCCGCCCAAAGCCCGCCCCCTCCGCCGCAGCCTCAGATGCCCGCCGGTGCTTCCCGCCTACAGGTGACCCCATTCCTTTGCTTTGAGACAAAACCGTCCGTAACTTGTTGAGAGCTCCCGAGCCCCATGACTTAGAAATCTAAGGTTCCCCCTGTCTTCCAAGCAGCATGTGATCCCTCCAGATCCTTCAAATTGGCCCATGTTTGTGGCTGGTCAGTAGCACAGAGCATGACCTCTGAGTTTTGTCCCCCGAGGTAATCACTATTGATATGTGGCACGTTTCTATTTTTGTATCTTCCCACTTTTCTATCCTGGTTTTACCTATGGAGGTTGAGCTAGCAATTGGGGAGGCAGGATTTTTGTTTTGTTTTCTTGAAGAGTCGGGCTGGTGGACTTCAAGCTAGAAAAAGCCAAAGTGGAAATTGCTTTTAAAACAAACAGACACAAAAGATTATGACAGTGACCATTTTAAAAAATAATGAAAGGAAGTCCATGGTTCATAAAGGGCACTTGCAGTCTGAATAGGAAATGATCCCATCTGCAGGGCTGGGATGGGGAAAAATAATCCATTCACCGCTGTTTGACATTTGGGGTGTGACTGGTAATAAGAAATTAACCAGATTTGTAAACTTTTGGCCGGGATTCTCTCATCAGCCTGTAGAGAAACTTTAAAGTCACTCAACGCCCTGTCCTGTCCTTTGTGTTCAAGAATTCGAATATTTTCACAGTCCAGAAAATTAGATAAATATTTTCTTTACATTCCAGAAAATTAAAACCTACTTCCTCCTTGCTTTTTCTAAGTCACTACCTCCTGCCTCTTCAAGAGCCTGAGTCTCTTTTTCTGAATGTTGGGGGGGGGGGGCGGGGAAGAGCAGCCTGAAGAATTCTTATTCCTTTTTGCCATTTGGGAGTTGAACCCACCCAAACTGGATCCCCGCCCCCCTGTCCCCACCTCATTTTTTTCCAAAAGTGATACAGAGGTGGTGGCAGACGTGGAGAAGGCTGGAGCCTCCCTGGGGGCTGGAGAGGCCACCACGTTTGGGCAGGTGCCTGTGTCCACTTTGGGCCACACATGGTCACGCAAGAGCTGAGAGCAGTGAGTCATTTAGGGTGTTTCAAGGACAAGGACCCTCATGGATGGATCTTTCCTCCCAACTTTTTTGATTCGAACAAACACGGCGAATCCCCCGGCCCACCCCAGCCTCATTCGTTTTTCTGAGGGTTCAGTCGGAGCCGTGATGCATGTTTTGGTAAAAGCAGAAACTTGTTCTTGTCTTTCTGTTCCAGCCGAACAGAGGGGCTAACCCGGGTGTGTCTGGAACTTTTCCTCCCTCCACACAAAGGTCCTCTATTGTGATGTGGAGCAATCATCTGTCATTGCCTAGCAACTGAAGCCCCTGTCTACACTTAAGGAGAACCCACCTGCCGGAGGCCGTCTTTCCCCATCTCCTCAGACGCTTGGACGCAGCCACGTTTCGAGTTTCCTGTTAATCAGATGTCTCCAGCCCACACTTTGGAAAGAAAGTTCCTGACAACTTCTCTGCTACATTAGCCAGATTGAGTTCGTGTTGTGTGAAATAAAAGCCTTGACTGACAGGTTAAGTTTTGCCTCCTCAAAAATTCGCCACCTTATTTAGGACTGAGTCAAACTGCCGCCCTCCCCAGAGAAGCCTTTTTCCGATTCCCAACAGCCAGAAATGAAGTCTCCCTTCATCCAGTCTGGGCTTGCAGCTCCCTGAGGGCAGTCACTTTATTTATTTTTAATTTTTTTAGCGCTTATATATTTTTGAGAGAGAGAGAGCATGCGTGCACGCAAGTGGGGGAAGGGCAGAAAGAGAGGGAGACACAGAATCGGAAGCAGGCTGCAGGCTCCGAGCTGTCAGCACAGAGCCTCATGTGGGGCTCGAACTCACGAGCCATGAGATCATGACCTGAGCCAAAGTCGGATGTTCAACCAACTGAGCCACCCGGGCGCCCCGAGGGTAGTAACGTTAGAGCCGTCTCCTAGAATAATGGTTACAACCACGGACTCCGTTCAGTCCCCAGCTTTGCCACGAAGTGTGTCTTTGGGCAAGTTACTCAACCTCTCTGTGTCTCATCTGTAAAATGGGGGGGAAAGAGCATGACCCTCACAGGACTGCTGCAAGGTTTATTCCATGTGTCCACATAGAGCAAAGGGACAACGCCTGGCCTGTCACAAACACTTCGTGGGAATTTCTATCACGGGACTCCATTCACACCACCACCACCGTCACCTGTGGTCCCTGGGGGCGGGGGGAGGGGTGAAATGCTCCCCGCATTGTGTGACTCATCCCCTGCAGAGTAGGGACCGTCCTGAGCACCATCAGGACGTAACTGGCACGTGGATGGATGACGCCATTCACAGCTCCGTGTGTCCCCAGCCCTCTGGAGCCGGCAGCCTGCCCCCCGGGTGTGGAGGGAGCCTCTGGAGGACTCCCGGCCCGGCCATCCTCCGCTGGCTCCCAACGCCCAGCTGTGTCCCCAGGCCTCTGAGGGCAGAAGCCGGGCTGGGTCCCCACCCCTCCCAGGACCCAGATCCCAGGGACCCGGGCGAGTGTCGGTCTCCGCTGGGGGGAGTGGGGACCAGCTGGGAGCGAGGAGGGCTTTCTGCTCCCGGGCCACACAGGGAACCGGAATCCCCACTGTCACTGGGGAATCTGGAGAAGGGAGCAGGGGTGGTGAGGGGCGAGGTCACGTAGGGCCAGGTTGGAGGGACGGCGGGAAGCAGGGATGCTCAGGAAGGGCTGCCGGGTGCTGCCCCGTGGGCCCCGGACACAGGCCAGGACTACAAGGGGGACCCAGAGAGGTCCAGCGTTAAGATTCCCTGGAGCCTCGAAGGCGTCGCCCTGCCCACGCTCTGCTCACCCGGCCCCTTGTCCCTGGAGAGGGCAGGTCGTCGTCTGCCCCCCCCAAGACTGCACAGACACCTCACTCTTTTGTCACAGCGCCTGGAGGGAGGAAGCCGTGGGAATCCTCTCCGCTGCTGCTGCTTCTCAGGTGCTCGACTGGGTGACAGATGACGACGTCCGGGTGAGTCGCAGGCCTGTGAGACGGCAACGCCCGCTGTCCCCTCCTCTGTGGCTAGGGTGTGTCACCCGAGGCTCCTCTGTGCCCGTCCTCCTTAGAAGCTGCCCCATGTGCCCCGGGCCCCATTTCACCTATTTCAGGGGCAGACCCCCCAGGTGGCCTCTTCTAGAAGGTTCCGAACTCCACTCTCATCAGGGCAGCCTGGACGCTGCCCCTCCAAGAGGCAGACCGGACCTGGGTCTAAAGGCAGCAGCCCTTACAGCCGTCCAGTCCACCTTCCTTCCCCCCGTTTTCCAGAGGGGAAACTGAGGCTCAAAAAGGAGGAGTCTCTCAAGGTGCCCCTGCAGTTTGGGGACGAGATGTCTCTTTCTCTCTCCCTCTCACTTCTCTACCTCCTTCCTTCTCCCCCACTTTTTCTTCTTGCTGTCTCGTATCTGGGTCTTGCCCCAGTCACACGGGGGACCCTACTGTGTTGTGATCGCAAGGCCTTGGGAGTCGGGCAGACCCGGTTCCAATCCCAGTCCCGCCGCCTCCCGGCCTTGCCGTATGATGGGGTCTCTGAGCTTCTCGGAGCCTCAGTTCCTCCTGGGGCCAATCCAAGAGCCTGCCGATAGAAGTCAGGGGGGGATGAAATGAGGGAACGTGTGGAAAAGACTTAGCATGTGCCTGGACCTACTCTCATGGCCAAAGATGAGGCAAGGGGAGAGACAGACAGACAGACAGACCATCAGAACAGAGCCAGAACCAGACCTCCTGACCCCTCTGCCATGATGATTAAGTGGTGAGGAAGGACCTCCTGTGTGCTGGGCCCATCCGAGCTTGTGTTTACCGGACAAGCAAGGGGCTCCTGGGTGGCTCAGTCAATTAAGCATCCGACTCTTGATCTCGGCTCAGGTCATGATCTCACGCTTCGTGAGTTCGAGCCCCACATTGGGCTCTGCACGAACTGAGCCTGCTTCGGATTCTCTCTCTCCCTCTCTCTCTCTCTGTCCCTCCCCGGCTCACACGCTCTCTGTGTCTCTCAAAATAAATAAACGTAAAAAAAAAAAAAAAAAAAGCATCTTTAATAAACTAACTTAAAAAATAAAGGACAAGCAGACGTGACTGGGAGAACCTGGGTCCTGTTTTTCTTGGCCCAAACAGAGTGCGCTGTGGGCTCCATGCACATCAGTGTCGGGGGTTTTTCTACCAGCTTGCAGAGAGGAGGGTCTGGCCTCTGGCTAGGGATGAATCCTTCCCTGGCCCGAACGTGGGGACACTCTGCTCCCACGAAGCCTGGCCCAGACGCCATCAGCCCACCCACCACTGCCGTGTCCTAGAAGAGGAACCGGGGGAAACGTGAAAAGGTGAGGGTCTCAGGGGGTCAAAGAAGGCCTCTCGGAAGAAGTGACATGTGAGCTGAGACAGTCGTAGAATCCCAGGGCTGATTCTCCAGCCCAGCATCCCCACCCAGAATCCTCCCCAGGTCAGGGGGTGACAGGGGGGTGATGCCGCGGCATCAGCGGCTTTTGTGAGCGAACCACAGCCTCCAGTATTCATTGAGCACCTGTTATGTATCAGGCCTTCTCATGAACGATCGGTTTAGTCCGTTTCAGGACCCTGTGAGGTTGATGGTACCATCTGCTCCAGCCTGGTGGGTAAATCAAGGCTCTGAGAAGTCCAGAACTAAGTCCGGGGCCACCCAGCAAGGAAGGGGCGGGAGAGGAACAAAGATTCGTATCTCTACCCAAGTCTATTCGTCCTCTACACCAGTAGTTTTCAGCCAAGGGGGGGATTCTGGCCACCCCCAGGGGACATTGGGCAAATTCTGGGGATATTTTCAATTGTTGTGACTCGGGGGCACTAATGGCACATAGTGGAGAGGGGCTGGGCATGCTGCAAAGCCTCCTATCATGCGTAGGAAAGCCCGCACCCCCCCCCCCAAAAAAATAATCTAGCCCAAATGTTCATAGGGCTGAATCTGAGAAACTCTGACCTAGGGGTCAAGGTCTGTGAGCTTGCTGGGGCCCCGAAGGATGCACAGCATGTGGGCAGAGCAAGAATTCTTTTTAATGTTCTTATTTGTATTTTTGAGAGAGAGAGAGAGAGTGCAAGCAGGGGGCAGGAGCAGGGGGCGGGGAGGGGAGAGAGGGAGACACAGAATCCGAAGCAGGCTCCAGGCTCCGAGCTGTCAGCACGGAGCCAGACGCGGGGCTCGAACTCACGAACCGTGAGCTCTTGACCTGAGCCGAAGTCGGACGCTTAACCGACTGAGCCACCCAGGCGCCCCTAAGAACAAGAATTTAGAAGGGGCCGTTCCAGAAAGCGGCAACTTCAAGGAAGAAAAGGCACAAAGTTAGGAACAGCAGGTGTTTGAGGGAACAGTCAGGGGGGCTGCGGCGGAAAGTTCAGGTCTGGGAGCAGGAAGGGACCCGCTCCGCTGCCGAGGCAGACTTGGCCTGTGCGGGCCTGGGCTCTTTGGCTGAACCCCTCTCACTGCAGCCGAGCTTAAAGGGAAACGCGCTGGCTCATCTGAGTGGGCAGTCTGACGACGGACAGGCAGGGATGGGAGCGGAGCCTGATTCCAAAGGGATAATTGCCGATCAGACGTAAAGAAAAGTGTTTTCATGCGACAGCCCATACCGAGAGCTCGTCGGCACGACCCGGGTCTAAGCAACAACAACAACTCTCTGGGGGGTTGTTATTATTATTGTTATTATTTCCAGTTTACGAATGAGGAAACTAGGGCTCGGAGAGGTTAAGCAACGTGCCCAGGGTCGTCCTGGAAGTCATTCATCACCTGCTGCTTGGAGGGAGCGAGAGGGGCCGGGGCCCGGTGGCAGGAAAGGCAGCGGTGGTTCTTTTCCTTGCAGGGTCGAGGGAGCAGCAGGCTCCCTCTTTCCCATTACTGCACAGCGGGAACTCCTGAAGTCTCACATCCCATGGCCGGTGGCCAGGACACCCCTCTCCTCCTAGAGGGACTCAGCCTCACTGCCAGGCTGGGGTGTCTGATCCCATCTCCTCAGATCCAAAGCCTCCCGTGGCTCCCCTCTGCCCCCTCTGCCTTTACCGCCCAGGGCTGGATTCTCAGCTTCCCTAGGTGCTCAGCCCCCCCCCACTGACCTGCGCCAGGAGCCTGCCCTGCCCCGCCCCCCTCTGCCCTGGCCCAGCCACTGAGCTCCGGGAGTTGCCTTTTTGAGGACAGGACGCTATTCCATGAGGCTGCCCGCCTGCCTTTCCTTCTTTCCTTCCTTCCTCCAGCGAACACCCAGCGAGCCCCATGCTTGAGGAGCACGTACGCCAGACAGACCAAGGCCGGCCTCTCGGGCCTCATGGCCCAGCTGCACCCACAAAGAACGTTGCACGCCCACTCAGGCTCCCGTCCTTCCCTTCTGAACTTCCTCCTCCAGGTCCCATCTCGGCGATGGCCCTGCCAGGCACTGCCCACCTGGACCCCCGGGCCCCAAACCTGGGGTTCACCTGCACTCCTACCTTCTGCCTTGAAATCGATCACAAAGTCCTGTTGACTGGGAAGCCTGGACCCCCCTAAATGCCGCCCTCCCTGCCTGCCCTGC